GTCCTTGCCCAAACTCAAAAAAGCCTATGAAAAAGGTACCAGGGGCATCTTATGGGGCCCCCTACTGACCCCGGGCCCTCGGGCAGTGCCCGGGTTTCCAAATGGTCAGTCCGCCCCTGCAAGCACCTAATTATTGAATATTCCTGAACTATAAAGAATTATTTTCTTTTTTTGGAGTCACACTCCGAGCATCTCTACCTTTATACCTTCTCAGTCTCCTTTATGCACCTCGGAGGCTTCCATAATTCAGAGGGGAGCTTCTGGAAAACCTCAATCTTAATTTCAGTATTTATTGGTATAACCAATATTTCAAAACTATTCACTCATACAGATCTTTAGTGAGGAATAGAAGTTGAAGAAAAAAACACAGCTCACCTGACCCGGTCCTAGTTGTGGTGTGTATATCTGGTAGCCTCAGACAATGCTGCTCCACAAACCATGCCCACTGATGCATTTTGCCCCGCCCTTCAGGGCTTAGTCATAGAGGTTCCTCTATGACTAGGCCCCAATCAGTGGAGTGAAATGCGCCGGGGGCGTGGTTTGTGGAGCAGCACTGTCTGAGGCTACCACACATACACACCACAACTAGAATTGGGTCAGGCGATTGTCTTTTTTTTTGCTTCTAGTTCTATGGGCAGCACAATGGCTAAATGGTTAGCACTTCTTCCTGGCAGTACTAGGGTCATTGGTTCAAATCACAACCACGGCACCACCTTCCTGGAGTTTGCATGATCTCCCTGTGCCTGCGTGGGTTTCCTCCGGGTACTTTGGTTTCCTCCCACCTTCCAAAGACATGCTGGTTGCATAATTGGCTCCTGTCTAAATTGTCCCTAGTATGTGTATGTATGAATGTGAGTTAGGAACCTTAGATTGTACGCCCCTTGAGGGTTAGGGACTGATGTGAATGTACAATATATATGTAAAGCGCTGCATAAATTGAAGACGCTATATAAGTACCTGAAATAAATAAATTCCCCACTGGATGAGTCCTATGTCATGCCAGTACTCTAATATCTTGATTACAAGCAGGGCTTCACACCTCAGGTTGGAGCAGCACCATTAGGTCTAGACGTGTTATATGGACCTTTAGGTCAGGATTGAACCATGTGCACCAACAAGAAGTGGGTCAGCTTCATGTTTCTGTAAATCTCATTAAAACGGAACGTATTCCATATTGGTTGGAAATCAACACAGTGAATTGTATTAATTCAAATACAGATAATATGCCAGGTATGCAAACATATCCCTAGATTGTTCACTGGAATTGTAAATTGATGACAGCTGAGGCCATCATCCTCCTCCATTATAATCTGCAGTGCCACTTATGAGGACATTATTTGATGGAAATAAAAGTAACCTTCAATATCACTACTGAGGGAAAAACAGGGCAACCATTGCTGGAATTTTTCTGAAAATGTTAGTTTGCTGGCTGTCTCTGGCTTCAGTACTTGCTTAGTCACTGAGCTAGGTCAAGTAGGCAGCAAGAAAAATCAGAACGATGTTAGAATGTCCAATTCGCTTTCTTACTCAGGGTTAGTGACTCAAACTTTGATGCCAGATAACCCTCATGAAAGCCAGAAAAGCAGAATTTTCTAAAGGAGAATTTTTGTTTATATCAGATTTGTGCCAAGTTTTACAAATTGGATGGCCAAAAAAAGCTTTTCAGAAAAAAAGGGATCTATAGCTGGTTTTCGTTGGCTTTGATATCCATAAACTTCCATGGGATTTTTGGTGAGAAAATTCTAAATTTCTGGGGTCTGCAAAGTTTTAAATTGTTTGGACGAACCTCAGTTGACCAAACATTTTAGAAGTTTGGTAATCTCTAATTAGGAAAATACTGTTATATGATAGCAAAATGGTGGATGTTTCATCAGTTATAGTAAAATATCTGAGAATTATTGGCTGTTGACGTGTTTTCATCCCCAAAAAAAAGAAGATTCCCAGATGATAGATAAGTGTAGCAAAGAGTACGATCTCTTGTTGACCTTCTTTCTCATGAAAGCTGAAAACTTGCAGCAGAAACTAGAACCAGGGAGCCGAACTTGAAATTGACATAGATACAAGCAGCTTACAAGTGACGTACATTTCAGAGGTAGCACCTCGTTCCTCAAGGTTCTCCAATAAGCATCAAAATAGTTCACCATAGATACAAGCAGCTTACAAGTGACGTACATTTCAGAGGTAGCACCTTGTTCCTCAAGGTTCTCCAATAATTATCGAAATAGTTCACCATAGATACAAGCAGCTTACAAGTGACGTACATTTCAGAGGTAGCACCTTGTTCCTCAAGGTTCTCCAATAAGCATCGAAATAGTTCACCATAGATACAAGCAGCTTACAAGTGACGTACATTTCAGAGATAGCACCTTGTTCCTCAAGGTTCTCCAATAAGCATCGAAATAGTTCACCATAGATACAAGCAGCTTACAAGTGATGTACATTTCAGAGGTAGCACCTTGTTCCTGAAAGTTCTCCAATAATCATCAAAATAGTTCACCATAGATACAAGCAGCTTACAAGTGTTGTACATTTCAGAGGTAGCACCTTGTTCCTCAAGGTTCTCCAATAATCATCGAAATAGTTCACCATAGATACAAGCAGCTTACAAGTGACGTACATTTCAGAGGTAGCACCTTGTTCCTCAAGGTTCTCCAATAATCATCAAAATAGTTCACCATAGATACAAGCAGCTTCCAAGTGACGTACATTTCAGAGGTAGCACCTTGTTCCTCAAGGTTCTCCAATAATCATCAAAATAGTTCACCATAGATACAAGCAGCTTACAAGTGACGTACATTTCAGAGGTAGCACCTTGTTCCTCAAGGTTTTCCAATAATCATCGAAATAGTTCACCATGGAAGGTTTTTGAGATTGAAGTTTCCAATTTTGGCCATTTTGAATACTTTCCCATAGAAAATTTGATGCAACAGAAACACAAGGGCTTTCACTTCTGATCGCCTTCTGGGCTGGATGCTTTCTAAGTCATTAGCATAGAAAAAATGCACAAATGAAGATCTATACTATCCTTGCTTGTTCCAGGTATGACACTCCAAAAGCTCCAGTCAAAGAATCAGCATGGCAACCAGGCGACCATCAGAATGGTGTCAATTCCTTTTATGATGGTTTCCTTTAAAGTAGAATTCCTGGCTGTCAACAAAAAAAAATACTGATACCCCCCAGCCACACACATATACTGAATATACTGTTAGTCCATGGGGCCCACTTACATTACTCCGAATCTACCACTGGCATAATATTCAACGGATTTTTATTTGATTATTCCAATAGAGTTGGCACCTAGGGTCCTGTTGAGCAAGGTATTTTTTGCAGCTCACCCGGGAGGCCTGCCATATGGTCTTTTAACATAGCAATAACTTTGATGGGCTCATTCTCCATTGTGATCATCTGAGTCTGTCTCTTGTGCTGCCAAGCTATATACATGGATGTTGGGTAATTTGCCTTTATCATATGATTTTAGCTTATGGGTTCTTGTTTCCCCTGGAGAAGAAAATGCTGTTTGAAACGCGTTGGGAATGAAGGGAACTATACCCAAAATGCTTTGATCTCAACTGTGGCCTTTTTTGTTGTTTTTATATGTTTCTATTTTTATTATGTTTCAAATAAAATGCATTTTATATATTTATGCGTGTTAGTAGGTAGATTGTCTAAAAAGTCCCATCCAAATCTAGAATTTATTGTTTGCAGATATATAGGGATGTTGGCATTCATGTTGAAGGGGGTAACCACCTGGTAATTGTTTCATAATGTACAATTTAGGACCAATAGAGTTGGGCTTTAATGATTTAATAATTTGTTCATTTATTAATTAATTGGTTAGCACTGGGGCCTTGTACTGCTGACACCCTAACTGTCTGAATGATGTTTATAGAATCTTTGTGTGTTTTGTGAATTTCCATTTCAGTCCACCATCCAAACACCTAGAGGTAGGTAAAATGATGTCTGGCCAAACTCATCCCAGCATGTAGACAAAAAGCAGATATTCTACTTCAGGCCGGTTCCCTATAGTCGGCCACTAAGATAATCTCTGCAAAAGCTCCAAACGAAGAAGGGGGAATTGCTCAATGTATTGTAAGCTTCAAAACCATTTATTTATCCATCCAACAAAGGGACCAATATATCCGAGGTCCAGTAAGAAGCTTACTTGTAGGGCGTTTTCAGTCCACCACCTAACACGTACAGGTAGGTAAAACTATCTCTGCCCAAACTCATTCCAGCATGTGATCATGGTGGAGACACATAGTTTGTAAAAGTTTCTTCAAGCCTTAGATTGAAGTTAGAGTGCATGTAAATCCAAAAACATTTTAATAATTGTGACTAGAGTGGGAGAGGATTAAACCCACTGTCAGATTTTTCCTGCAGTTTGGGGTCCATGGGATGGGGAGGAGGGGCAGCTGCCCTGGGCACAACAGAGAAAGGGGGCAGAGAATGGACGCAGGGCAGTGCACCCATTCTACAGCATGCATTAGCAGTGGAGGAGGGGGCACATTTCAGTATCCTTGCCCTCAGCTCTGGATGAACCTGTCCTGGTACTGGATCTATATCAGAGATTTATTCTCACTTCTTGTCCAAAAGACAACATTTAGCAGAACAAAATTAAGGGGAACTCTCCAACAACACCGCAGGCCAAAATAATTCTTTTGGTTAGTAGAGAAGGGAAAGTTTACAACCTCTGTCAGAATTTTTTTTTCTATATTTGTCCTGTTGCAGATTTTCCTTCACTTCCTGTCTGGTGAAATCATTGTCAGTAGGACAGGAAGTGCGGGTAAATCTCTCTAATGGAGTCTGGGATAGCAGTAAAAAATCCAATAAGACGTCCTATACTCCCATACTGGATTAAAATGTTTTTGGCTTGACATACAATTTTATTTTTTCCAAATATTCCATATTATTGGTGCTTTACAATCAAAAGATATTTAAACGTTAATCTAAAAATGTAATCTGCCTTTGATGGGGTGTATATGAAAATCAGGCCAGCTGCAACATCACATTTCCTGTTGTAGAACTCTCAAGTATCATCTATGAACCTAGATTTCAGTGTTGGTCATGCAGATATAACTTTCTATAGACAAGTGACAACTCACAAACCTAGACTGAATTTACTAGCACAGTACTGTCATACCAGGCAGGGGCGGACTGACCATTTGGACACTTGGGCACTGCCCGGGGGGCCTGGGGTCAGTAGGGGGCCCAATGAGATGCCCCTGGTACCTTTTTCATAGGCTTTTTTGAGTTTGGGCAAGGACACAGGGGACCCATGATCCCCTATTGCCCAGGGGCCCCATGAGTTGTCAGTCCGCCCCTGAGGCTATGTATGTATTTATTTTAAGCAAACGAGAGAACTGGGGTGCAGAAACATGGCAGCAGGTGCTCTGGATTGATGAGTAAAAATGAGAAATATTTGGCTGTAGCAGGAGGCAGTTTGTTCGCGGAGGGATTGGAGAGCGGTAAAATAATGAGTGTCTGCAGGCAACTGTGAAGCATGGTGGAGGTTCCTTACAAGTTTGGCTGCATTTCTGAAAATGGATTTGGAGATTTTGTCAGAATCAATGTTCTCAATGCTGAGAAATACAGGCAGATACTTGTCCATCATGCCATACCATCAGGGAGACGTGTGATTGGTCCCACATTTATTTTGCAGCAGGACAAAGACCCCAAACATACAGCCAATGACAGTAAGAACTATCTTCAGTGTAAAGAAGAACAAGGAGTCCTGGAAGTGATGGTTTAGCCCCCACAGAGCCCCAATCTCACCATCATGGAATCTGTCTGGGATTACATGAAGAGACAGAAGGATTTGAGGCCGCCTACATCCACAGAAGATCTGTGGATTTTTTTGAAGTTCCTTCAAAAAAAGAAAAAGAATTGATGCTGTTTCGAAGGCAGACGGCGGGCACACCAAATATTGATTTAATGTGAATTTCTCTTCTGTACAGCATTTTTTCACACATGCCTAATACTTTTGCTTTTTTTTCTATACTGTGTGTATATGTGTATATATATATATATATATATATATATATATATATATATATATATACTTTTATTTATAACTAATAAAATATATTTTGATATATAAATATATATTTTATATATATATATATATATATATATATATTTTTTTTTTTTTAACCCCTGCCTGCCCAGTGCCATTAGTACAGTGTCAGTGCTTTTTATTAGCACTGATCACTGTATTAGTGTCACTGGGGATGTCAGTGACACCAAGTCAGTTCCGCCCAGTGTCAGAATGCCCACCGCAGTCCTGCAGTCCTGCTATTAGCTGCCATTTCTAGTATATAAAAAATAAAATTCCAGTATACAGTATATAGTGCCATTTGTAGACTTTATAACTTTCATGTAAACCTATTAATATACACGTATTGGGATTTTTTTTAGCAAAGACATGTAGCAGAATGCATTTTGGCCTACATTTATGAAGCAATTAGATTTTTTAATTTTTTTTTACTGGATATGTTTTATAGCAAAAAGCCAAAAATATTGTTTTTTTTTTCCTCAAAACTTTCAGTCTTTTTTTTTTTATAGCCCAAAAAAATAAAAAGCACACAGGTGATCAAATACCACTGAAAGAAATCTCTATTTGTGGGAAAAAAGAACATAAATTTCATTTGGGTGCAGCGTTGCATGACCGCACAGTTGTCAGTTAATGTATTGCAGCGCCGTGTCGCAAAAAATAGCCTGGTCAGGAAGGAGGGTAAATCCTCTGGAGGGCAGGTGATTAATGCTTCCCTTGCAGTGGCATAAAGTACCAAATATTGGTACCTCTCGGAACCCTTATAAAAAAAAACAAAAACAACATCATTATGTAAAGCGTGGTGTTAACCCTACAGAGTAGCTTACAATTATTCCTGGAATTAAGAGATCGGGGTTGATGCTTGAAGGGCCTTTCCACACCTGATATTTACAATTATTTTGAGACTTCAGGTCATATGGAGAAATATGGAGTAATGGTATATGATTGCTTTACTGCCAGTAAGAGACTATAAGACAGTTTTATTTATTTATTTATTGCAGGTACTTATATAATGCTGTCAATTTACGCAGCGCTTTACATATATATTGTACATTCACATCAGTCCCTAACCCTCAAGGGGTGTACAATCTAAGTCTCAACCCTCAAGGGCGCTACAATCTAAGGTCTCCAACCCTCAAGGGGGTACAATCTAAGGGCTCAAGGGGCGTACAATCTAAGGTCCCTAAACCCTAAGGGGCGTACAATCTAAGGTTCACATACATACACATACTAGGGACAATTTAGATAGGAGCCAATTATCCTACCAGCCTGTCTTTGGAGTGTGGAGGAAACTGAAGTACCCGCAGAGGAAGTCGTCCAACGCAGGCACAGTGGAGAACATGCAAGCTCCAAGCAGGTGGTGCCTATGAACGTTGGGATGTTGAAACGATGACCCCGTAGTACTGAGCCAGGGCGGAAGTGCTACACCATTTAGCCACTGTGGCTGCCCTGGCGCGTTGGGGCACTCCATAGATTTACACAGTATGTAAGGGAATCTGGAAGCAAGGCAAGTAATAATATTCGCAAACACGACTCATTTCATCACTTCTAGATATGATCGAATCCGAACGTTGGCGAAGTGGAATTCGTTTCGAATCTGTTAGTGAAATATTTCGATTCGCGACGAATTCCTGAAGATAGGCATGACTTTTCGGCATGCCTGCGAATATCGAAATTTTTCCAAAAATGGCGGCGACATGTGCAGGCCGACGGAGCGTGGTAGTCTGGGAAGGCTCGCGAGACAAGGGCGCGCTGACCGCATAATGCATTCATTCAAAGACATGTGATCGCATATAGGCCACAATCAGCCAGCCAGCCACGCCAGCACTGTGTAGATTGGACGAGCTAATTAAATTCAGCGGCCAATGTTTAGAATTCTCCATTTGCGCTCCAGTCATTCAAGAGAGGTGCAGACGCTTGCTGGAATTGAGTGCAGAAAGAACACACACACAGGGGATCAGACAGAAACTGTACATAGGGCCCAGATGAACACGTTACTTTAGGGACACAGAAATCGTTTACTTAGGTACCACAGAAACGTTACATAGGGACACAGAAACGTTACTTATGGACACAGAATTCGTTACTTGAGAGAGGGACACAGTAATCGTACTTAGGGACACAGAGAACGTTACTATAGGAGGCCACAGAAAGCGTTAGCGGGGGGTAGGGGGGGCCGGACAGAATCGGGGGTGGTGGGATGGGGGGGGTAGGGACACAGAAACGTTTGACGGGGGGTAGGGCACACAGAAACGTTACATATAGGCGCCACAGAAACGATACTTAGGGCCACAGAATCGTTACATAATGGGAGAGCACAGAAAACGTTTACTTTATGGCCACAGAACCATTACTTTAGGGGCCACAGAAATTGTTACATAGCGGCGCCACATACACGATACATACTTAGTGGCCACAGTAAACGTTACTTCATAGGCCACAGAAACATTTACTTAGGGCCACGTACCGAAATACAGACATCTGTTACTACAGGGACAGACACATAATTGGTTACTGATGGGACACAAGAAATTGGTATAACTGAGGTACACAGGAATTGTTTACGTCAGGGACAGACACAGAATTGTCAACTCCAGGACAGACACAGAATTGTTACTCAGGGACAGAACACCAGAATTGTTACTGAGTGGACACAGAATTGTTTACTTGAGGGACACAGAATAGTTACTATCAGGGACAGACACAGAATTGTTACTCTCAGTGACAGACACCGAGATTGATTACACAGGGACAGACACAGAAGTTGGATACTCAGGTACAGACACAGAACTTGTTTACTCCCAGGGACAGACACAGAATATTGTTAGCTGACCAGGGACAGACCACAGCAATTGATTAACTGAGGGACACTCAGAATTTGTGTACTTGAGGGACACAGATATTGTACTTGTCAGGACACAGAATTGTTACTCAGGGCACGTGACACAGAATTGTTAACTCAGGGACAGACACGAGAATTTGTGTTACTGAGCGGACACAGAATTGTTACTGAGGGAACCTGACACAGAATTGTTACTCAGGGACAGACCACAGAAATGTTACTGAGGGACACAGAATTGTTACTGATGGAACACAGAATTGGTTACTCATGGACAGACACAGAATTGTACTGAGGGACACAGAATTGTTACCTCATGGACACAAATTTTTACTCAGGGTACAGACACAGAATTGTTACAGAGGGACACAGAATGTGTTACTAGAGGGACACAAATTGTTACTCAGGGACATGACACATAATTTGTATCCTGAGGACACAAGATTGTTACTCAGGACACAGAATTGTTACTGAGGGACACAGAATTGTTACTCAGGGACACAGTAATGTTACTCAGGGACACAGAATCGTTACTGAGGCACACTAGAATCGTTACCAGGGACACGAATTGTTCACCAGGACACAGAATTGATACTCAGGGACAGACCAAATTGTTACTGAGGGAAAACAGAATTTTTACTGATGGACCCCAAAAATTTGTTATTTTACGGGGAAACAGAATTGTTACTCAGGGAAAAACGGGAATTGTTAATAGGGGACCCCAGAATTTTTACGGGAGGGAAAAAAATTCGGGGGAAAGATTGTTCCCTCAGGGACAGACACAGAATTGTTACTCAGGGACAGACACAGAATTGTTACTGAGGGACGGGGGAATTTTTAAAATAAAGGGACGGGGACACAGAAATTTTTAATGAGGGACAAAAGAATTTTTTAACTGAGGAAAACAGAATTTTTTACTCAGGGACACAGAATTTTTAAATATACGGGGACAAAAACAGAATTGTTACTGAGGGACACAAAAATTGTTACTGGGGGACACAAAATTTGTTACTCGGGGGAACGGGAATTGTTACCCCAGGGACAGACCCCAGAATTGTTAAAAGAGGGAAAACAGAATTTTTAACTGGGGGAACACAGAATTTTTTACTAAAGGGACAGAAAAAAATTTTTTACTGGGGGCCCACAGAATTTTTCCCCGGGGGGACACAGAATTGTTACGGAGGGGACACAA